TGTGTGTGTGTGTGTGTGTGTGTGTGTGTGTGTGTGTGTTTGCGTGTGTGTGCGCGCGCCTTCTTGTATATTAATATAATAATATAATCTACACCTACCATAATCAAAAATAGACTCTTTTGTACACGCACGATAGAAAAAATCGCCCAAACAAACAAACAAACAAAAACACATCTGCATAAAGTCTCCCAGTTCAAGATAGTATCGCAGTTCGCAGTACTGTATTTTAATACTGTAAACATAATATGGATATCAACCTGAATATGTGACATAGGAGGCTCTGTAGCCGTACCAGCCAACTCAAGCTAATGAAACTTTTCTTTTAAAAATGTTTACGAAATTGATAGCTAATCGGCATTAGCAACAGTTTTGAACGTACAGTAACTTGTGTAAAGTACTTTGGCTATACAGTACTGTATAAGACATTGTATTCTATAAAGAGCACAATTTGATACGCCGAAGGCAATTCGACCCTCATACAATGACATGCTTCTATTTATTCAGGGGTAGCCCAAACTGATAAATGACATTTCCAGATACATGTCGTGTATATTTTATTATACAGTCAGACTCCAACTTCGTCCTCCGACACCGTAAAAAACAAAACAAACCCAGCCAAGCAAACAAAGAAACAAGCACACGTGAACGCATCTGACACACACACATATATAACAGGCTGGTAAGAATGTCCACATATGGAGATGACAAAATATTCATATTATCGTAAGAGTGGAAAAATTATGGTAATATAAAAAAAAGTCTACGTGAGAAAACTGCACAAACAAAACGTGTGTTTAAGTTCATTAAAATTTAATCTCTTGTTGTTTCTAAATCAACATGATTTTGATGTTCTGAATGATAACCCCATCTTATTCTCTTATACCTTACTGAACAGACACCTCAACTTCGTTCTTGTCGGATGTGACTTCAACTGTGGTAGCTACGGAACAGGTAACGGACGATTGATCGTGGGGTTATTTTTTGTTTAGAAAAAAAAAATAATTTGTGAGTGTTTTTCGGCGCTCGCAACTGCATAAGGTCATACGGACGCTCGGGACACATTAAACATTTTCAATTTTCTGTTGGTAGAAAATTTTGAATTTTGTCCGGGTTGCGGCCTAAACCTACTGTTATCAATTCGGGACCACCAAGGGATCTTTAACGTGCGCAATTTGCTCACGGGACCTCCGAGATTTTTCGATGTTGTTCGAGAAAGCTAGGTGTACTGTGTGCACATAGATCTTTCCTACCAGAAGACCAGGGGTGTGGCTGAAAAAAAAACAGCAATAAGAAGGAGCCAGGGAGTAGCAGTAGAAAGGCTGCAGAAATAGTCAGGAGCCCAGAGGAGGGGGCAGAGGGGGTGGGGGCACAAAGCGGAGACGAAAGCAGACGACAGAACGTTTTTGAGATCAGGAAAGGATGAGATGAGAAAGGAGAAAGTTTTAGAGAAGAAAATTTCCGTCGCTGCCTGGATTCGAACCCGGGACTTATTGAATGAAAGGCGAACATCTCAACCTCTAGGCCACGAGAGGCCCCTGATCGCTTGTTTAGTGGGGCAGACTTTTAGACACACCGTATTTAAACCCCCCCCCCCCCC